ACGTGCCCAGTGCCTGGGGCAGCCGGGGCAGCGTCATCGGTGGGACGAGGTTTGCTCACTAACCGGACCGGGTAGGGCCTCAGAGCCCCACTGGCTCCCGGGATTGTGCATCCGGGAGCGAGCTGGTTCTCCTCCCCGTGGCCGAGCCTCGTGGCCCAGCCTCGTGGCCGAGCCTCGTGGCCCACGCTGCCTCTGCATACGCCCCTGGCCTGTCATGAAGTTCCAGCAAGCATGGCGCTCGGCCAGCCGCAGCCCATCCTGCAGAAAGCTTTCTCTCACCCGCTGTCACCTACGTGCCTCTCGTCGGGTTGGGAAAGTGGGGACGACATGGACCAAGTGACCGAGCTGGACACGCTGCCCCCGCCGGGGCTTGCTCAGGGCCCAGTGACTGCCTCTCAACAACGGATCCACGCTCACACCACCCAGCAGCACAGGCAGGCCACGCCCCTGACAGGTGAGGAGGCAGGCTCAGAGAGGGTGAGTAACTCGCCCACAGTCACACAGCCGGACCCAGGCCATCCCGACCCTAAGAATGCCGCCCTGGACGGCGAGAGGCTGCCCCACGAACACAATGGTGAGGTGTCTCTCGGCATTGCCAGCCCAGGTGCCGGGCGTGGCCTCAGAGGAGAGGGGCTTGGGTCTGTGTGGGGACAGGCAAGGCTCCCGCCCCTCCAACCGGAAGCTCCCGGCACAGCAGACCCTCAGAGGGTCACTGCCAAAGGCAGGAAGGGTCTGAGCTGGGCCAGGGCACGAGGCCCTCGGGGCAGGGCCGGGCCCCAGCCCCTCCAGGACAGAGCGCGAGGGATGGCTGGGAGGGCGGTAAACTGGGGGGTGGGCCTGCTGGTCTCACTCTGCCCATTGGGGTCACATGATTTATCTGCCCACTTCCCATGTGACCACACTGTCCACGGCAGGGGATTGTCCCAGAGCCCCTAAAGTCACCAGCATTTACTGAGCACCTCCTAAGTGCTGGCAGGGGCCTCCGTGGCGACTTTTGCTCTGAGTGTCCTGAATTCCCGCTGAGCGTCCTGGGCCAGAGCGTCAGTCATCGTCAGAGTCCCGGCTCCTGGCGCTCTGCCCAGTGACCACTGCGCCCGCCACCTGTCCTGACAGCCTGGAGTCTCACCACAACCATCGCCCATGGCCAAGGCGGCCACCTCGACCCCCAAATACTGCTGGGCCCCGCCCACTTCCTGCCTCAGCACTGCCACCACACTGTCCATCATTTCTTGCTCAGGCGACCGAATTCCTTCCTAAATAGGCTCCCTGCACCCACACGGCCAATCCAGGCCTCCCAATGCAGCTCCGGGCTTCGTTTTACATTGCAGCCCTAACCATTTAACCCCCAGCTTACAAGCCATTGCTTCGCCCAGCCAGGGTGGCGTCATGGCTGTGCATCGGCCCATGAACCAAGAGGTCAGCGGTGAGCAACATACACGAAGAACAAAAACAGATACAGAGACAGAGAAGCATCGATCAGACCGTCAAACCTCAGCGGGAAGGTAGGGGAGGGTGGGGGTAAGGGGGAGAGATCAACCAAAGGACTTGTATGCATGCATATAGGCCTAACCAATGGACACAGACACCAGGGGGGTGAGGGCATGAATGGGGGGGTGGGGGGGCAATGGGGGGATAGGGACACATATGTAATACGTTAATCAATTAAAAAAAGAGAAGGAAATAAAACTACCCAATACTTAAAAAAAAAGAGTAAGGAAAAAAAAAAGAGGTCATCGGTTCGATTCCCGATCCAGGCACATGGGGGGGGCTGGATCTCAGTAGGGGGCATGCAGGAGGCAGCTTATGAATGTTTCTCTGTCATCAATGTTTCTATCTCTCTCCCCCTCTCTCTCTAAGAATCAATAAAAACATATGTGTGTTTTTTTTAAATCCATCGCTTCTAGCCAAAACCAAACTGCTTAACAAGGCCCAGGGCACTGTAAGACCTGGCCCATCCTTAGGGCCCCCCTGCTCAAGCATAGCCACCTCAGCCTCCTCACAGCTCCTCTTCAAACAACCCTGCTTCCTCCTGCCCCAGGGCCTTTGCACGTACCATGCACTCTTCCTGGAATCCTCTGCTCCTGCCATCCCTCGGCTTACACTCACACATGCAGGCACACTTTCTGCACCATGAACTCTGGCCCATTTTCAACCACCTACCTCCCCTCTAGAACCCTTCTCTTGGCGTATAATTCTGCGCACTCATTGGGGTCATCAGCTGATTGACGTCTGCCTCCCCCGCCAGACCGGGGGTGGGGGTGGAGCTCCTGCTGGTGTGCGCGCCCTGCACCCGGGACCCACTCAGTGCCTGGCACAAGCTCACCCCCTGGCTGTGATGCCCAGCGGAGCATGCGGTGGAGTGGACAGCAGCCTGACAGAGGCGTCCTCCTTCCTGACCCTAGAGGTGCGGGGGCCGCCAGCTGTCCACCCAGACCGCCCATCCTCCGGCTGGCACACAGCCAGCCAGCCCAGCCCAGGCACAGGGCCGGTCCTGGACGGACTCAGCCAGTGGGGCGCGAGCAGAAGCAATGCCTGGCCTCCGGGGCCCTCCCACGTGCAGGACACGGACACGGGGCCGCCACGCAGCTGTTTAAAGGGGCGGGAGGCCACATGAGCTGGCGTGGAACCGTTCACGTCAAGTTTAAAAGAAACAGGCAGGTGTCAGCTGCATGACCCGCGAGCCTCCTCACCCCGGCACCAGTCAGTGGCCGGTGCCTGTGCAGGAAGCGACGCTGGGCGGAGGGAGGACCCGGTGGGGACCCTGGGGGACGCTTACGTTCTTTGTCTTTTTCTGGAGTTTTACAAGCGTGACGAATTGTTTTTATACTAAAAACAAAGCTCCCTCTGAAATGAAAACACCAGGATCCCTCCTCTCCTGGGGTATGAGGCCTCCCCGAGCCCGTCTGGCCGCATCCCAGCTCCAAGCCCCGAGGACTGCGGGGTGGCCCCGGGGGGAACTTTCCAATGTGCCTGCTGGCTCAGCTGAGGCCGGGGGAGAGCGGTGGAGACGCACCCTGGGCATGAGCTCGCAGGTCTGTGATGAAACCCATTCTCCTGTCCTCAGAGTTTTTGTTTTTGTTGTTAATCCTCACCAAGGATATTTTTCTATTAATTTTTAGAAAGAGTGGAAGGCGGGGGGAGACAGAGAGAGAGAAACATCCATGTGAGAGAGAGACACATTGATTAGGGCTGGGGATGGAGCCTGCAACTGAGGTACGTGCCCTTGACTGGAATCGAACCCGGGACCCTTCGGTCCGAGGGCTGACGCTCTATCCACTAGGCCTGAGCTTTTGAAGTGGAATATTTGCACGCGTTAACTGCCTGGTATTCTGCACTGTCATTCCGTACTGTAGTGCAAGGGGGTGGAGGGGAGTCATTTAAAGTGACCCCAGTCCCAAGGGGAAGAAGCCAGCCCGGCCGGCTCGGCCCCACGGCCACGCTGTGCCTGGGGGCAGCTTGCTGAGCTCTGAGCCCCTCTGTGGAGAGTGACCGCCCAGAGGGCCCGCCCCCAGGGGGACAGCCACACCAGTTAGGAGCCCTCCAGGCGGCTCCTGACCCCGAGCTCTGGCCAGCAGCCCCTTTCATAGCAGGGACATTGTACTGGGGACAAGACCGCACAATGAACAACGAGGAGCCACAGTGCGTCCCTGCAGAGAAGGGCCAGGCGGAGGCTGCCAGGGATCAGCTCGAGGCCACGGGGTGGGCGCCCCGAAGGGGGAGGGGCGCTGGGCTCCGGCCTGCTCTGTGCACACTGCTCTCCGGGTGCCTCCCGTCCCAGGCGCTGCCCGGGCTGGGCCCAGTGCTCCCGGCCCCGGGGCCTGGCAGACCCTTCCCTGTCCTCCCTTCTCTGCTGCTGACAGTCCTGTCCCTCCTCTAAGGGTCAGCTCAGCGCTGCCTCCTCAGCCCGGGATGTGGCAGCGTCCACGGCCCCATTGCTCCCCTCCCGGCAGTCGCCCGAGTTACCGCCTGGGCCGGCAATCTGGCAGGGTCTGGCGCTGGCTGGACACACAGTAGGCTTCATATGCCCCCAGCACCTACTGTGTGCTCAGCCCTAGGCACAGATGGGCTTTCAGGAATCTCCAGACCCCTCACACCCAGTGAAATCGTCATGCAGAGGCACCGGAACATTCCTGCCCGGTGCAGGCGGTGAGCCCCATTGCCGGAACCCCACCGTCTGGCTGCTGATTCCTTTGCAGGGTGACTGTGAGGATTAAGTTAAGTCCTGCACGGGGGCCACTTTGGATCTGGCTCATAGTAGGTGCTCAGCAAAGTCAGCTCTTCCAGGCAACGATATTACCGGTTCCTACGCTGTGCTGCCCCCTGCGGGCCTTTAAGCAGCAAGCGGGCCCTTGATCAGGGGCTTTTGCTGCGTGGCCCAGCGCTCTGAGGACGTTCTCATTAACGACCAGTCAGCCCCTGCATCCCTGGGCTGCGCATCCGCAGATCCAACCCCTGCAATCGACCCAAAGCAGATCTTCAGTCCTTGACGGGAGCCCTCGGAGCCGCGGGCTGACTGTGTGCTGTTGTTCTGCACCATTTTATAGGAGTGACAGAGCGCCTGCTGGGGGTCCCGGAACCCACCCCCTGGACACAGTGGTTACGTTTTGGGGGGGTCAACCGTTACCCTCGGATTCTGACTGTGCTGGGGGTCGGTGCCCGAGGGTCGACGGTACGTGCTCCCCCGGTCAGTGTGCTATCCTAGACCCCGGGAGGCTGTGGCCGGGACGGTTCCCTCTCCCTCCTCGGGGGACACACAGTATGACGGAGTCAGGCGCTGCTCCCAGCGCTCCTGCCCGACCACAAACAGCTGGGCCTCTGACGGCCGCCTTTGCTGGGCAGCAGACCAGCCTGCGTGTCCCGCCCTGAAGCAGCGCTGGTCCTGGGCACGGAGCCCTCACCGTGCCCGCCCCGCCCCGCCTGGTGGGAACACTCGGGCGATGAGTGTGGGGAGGCCCCTCAGAGCCCCCAGTGGGAGGACCCCCGCCCTGAGCCCCTCTCACCTCCAGTCTCGTCCGGTCCACGTCTTTGGGCAGTTTCACGCGGATCCGGTTTGTGACGATGAGGGCGTCATAGGGGTAGACCTGTGGGGGAGGCGGCAGGCTGGCTTCAGCGGACATGCACGTGGGGACGAGAGAGGGGCCAGGCCCGCGGGCTGGGTGGGGTGGGGAGGAAGGCACATACTTGCGTCTGCACGGGACACACATCTCATAGGAAAAGCACAACAAAAGGAACTTTTAACCTGGGCAGGCGCGGCAGGAAGAGGTCAGAGGTCAGCGAGGCGGCGGCCCCTTACCTTGTATTCTGTAAGAGAAAGAGCAGAGACCACAGGGCCGGTGAGAAAGCGCAGGAACCCATCCCAGAGGTGGCAGCAATCCCCCCCACCCCCACCCTGCAGCCAGCAGCGCCGTTTGGCCCGTCCCCGCAGCGGCGGCCCTGGAGCCACAGGTGGAGGAGGGAGCTGCCCGTCCCAGGGAGAAACCAGGAGGCTGAGCCAGACTGGGAGCTGAGCCAGACTGGGAGCTGGACGCGGCGCTGTGTCCCCTGCTGGGCTGAGCCGCCTGAGAACGCTGCCTGCCTCAGTTTACCCCGTGAGTGGGCCTTCTGGGTAGACGTGTTGTTGTGGAGACTCAGCCTCCCAGGGCCTAAGCCCCCAGCCTCTAACTTTCTTCCTTCTTAACCCTTTCGTGCCTCCTGGAAGCTCCTGAGCTCCGGACACAGTGCAGGGAGGCGCCCCTGGACTAGAAGGTCTTGTTACGCAGTGAGATTGGGGGGCAGAGGCTCCGTGAGCGCCCAGCACCCACAGAGGCAGACACTGGGACCCCGGCCACAGGCCTGTCTCGGGGAGAGTCCCTGGCAGGGGCCCAGGCGAGGGGGGCCGGTCCCTGAATTTTTCAACGCAACCCGTGGGATTCTAGCCGTGCCAGCTGTGAGCCAGGGACCTGGAGAGCCACTTGGAGGGAGCAGCTTCGACACCCCAATCTCCACCCTGCAGTGCCATCCCGCCCGCGAGAGTGAGTCCCCCTACCCGTCGCACTCGGGGTGACGGGGTGAGGGGGCAATGCCGGGCCCGTGCAGGCCCAGGGCCGGCTCCCAGCGGGCAGAGGCTCCGCCAGGCACCTGCCACGTGACCAGGGTCCCTGCCAACCTCCTGCAGGCAGCCCGCCTGGCTGAAGTTTGTTCCCACACAGATCCCTCCCCAAGTGACCAGAGTGACAGACAAGTCAGCACAGGGGCTGATGGGAGAGCAGAGCACCTTGGCAACGTTAGAACGGAGTCAGCTGACCCTCGAGGGGGAGGCGGGCAGCGAGCACCCGGGCTCCCCTCACTGCGCCAGGCTTGGCGCCCCTGCCGGCGGCCTGGCGGGGGGGGGGGGGGGTTAGAACGAAGTTAACGGGACCGTGTTAGTGCTCCCTGCCCAGCCAGAGACCTAGGGTCCCCGCTCCGTGTACCTCGCGTGCCCCAGCTGGCATCCGGGTCTGCTCCACAAGGCGCCAGATTGGCGTTCTGGAAGAGAAAGAGAGAGGGCAGCAGGAGGCAGGCCGGGGCTGGAGGGTCGGATCACCGAGCCTGCAGATGCTGCAATGGAGGCCCCCACTCCCCGGGGTGCCGCCCTCACCCGGCGGCTCTGCTCCAGGCCGCTGCCGCCTCCCGGCCTGTGCCAACCCTGCCCGTCCAGGCAGCTCCTGCCGAACTGCCGTAAGGATGCCCGGGGGCCTGGCCCCTGAGCTCTGCAGCTGGCACAACCCGGGGGCGGCTCAGCGTGGAAGCTGTTCCCGGAGCCTTAGCCCCCCCAGACCCCGCCGTCCCCAGGGCTCGGTGGCCGGTGTCTGCACAGCCGCTGGGACAGGGCCCAGCATGTCGTGAGCTCTCCACACAGCGGCTGCACGGGACCGAGCCCCGCCACCCGCCTCAGGTGCCGCCCTCGCCTGCCCACGCTCTGCCATTTCACTGCCTCCACCACTCATGTCTGGGATCCTCCCCCTCTGCCCACCTGCAGAAGCCACCCTGCAGACCCCGGAAGGTTCCGCCGGGGGCACCGAGCCCGCGGGGTTCCCCGCCCCCAGCTGGCACAGCGCTTCTCAACTGGGTTCAATTCCAAAGGAGAGGGACCTGCAGGTGCCGGGAGCGATGGGGCTTCCAGCCCTACCTCACGCGGAGGCGGGAGTGAGGGCCCCACCGCCTGGCGAGAGGCACAAAGGCCTCAGAGGGCAGCCAGGCCCGAGTCCTTCAGCCCAGAGGGGACACTGAGGCAGCGAGGGGGGAGCACGTGAAGGGCAGGGCCGGAGCCGGTCTCTGTACATGTGTGATACTTTGTTCATCGCGGGTTTATCTGCATTAATCTGGATTTTTAAAACGGTTGTGTTAAAACACGTTGGTCTTGATTACTGAGTCTTTTGGTACTTGCCTCGCTGGCCGACCTCCTCCGGCCTTGGAGCCCCCAGCCGGGCTCTGCGCCCACCTGGTGACTGACCTGCCCCGGCCCTGGAGTCCCCGCCGGGCTCTGCGCCCACCCGGTGACGGACTCTCCGTGACAGAGGGAGTCTCCTGAGTTGCAAGAACGCTTTTTGGAGACATCTTCTCAGGACACTGACAAGCACCCCAGGTGCACCTGTCCGGTTAGGGACCCTCCTCCTGGGACAAAGCCTGGCATGCCTGCCAGCCACTTGCCACCTCCCCTCTGGGACACGGAAGGGAAAGGCCGCCCTCTAGTGGCCACTGTCCCGCACCACAGGCCATCAAAGCTGGCCGCCATGGCCACTGGGGGCAGCTGGAACCCCTTCCTGGGGCCACAACCAGCTTCCTGCGCTCTGTCAGGCTCCCGGGAGGAAGGGCGGGGCATTGCCCGGGGGCAGAGGGGAGCGGAGGGTCAGCCAGAGCTGCCAGCTGGGCCTGGGGTCTTCCCGCCCTCCCTGGCAGGAGAGCTCCATGGCCAGGGGAACCCACAGCAGCTGCCCTGGTGGGCTCCCCGCGTCCTCAGCAGAGGATCACCGGAGGAAAAAGCGACCATTGCTGCCCTCTCCCACCAGCCGGGTGTGATTGTGTCAGCTGCCCTTACAGCCGCATTCACTAATCTCCGCAGCAACCCTAGGAGGTGGGCATTGTTGTTACCATTTTATGGACGCGGCTCAGAGAGGTGAAGCAACTTGCCCAAGACCGCACAGCGCACGCATGGCGCTGCCAAACATTTCACTTGGGTTTTACTTTTCCAGGATTGCTAGTAGCAGGAGCGGAGTGGTGGCCATTCACACTGGCCATGCACTTTCCTCCCTAGGGTCCCGTTGGCGTCCGCCACTCCACGCAGCAGCCGCTGGTCTGGAGGTAAGGAGGGGTAGGGACTTGCTGTTGTAATACCTCCTCGTGTGGGAACCACGCTGCAGAGCGTATGAGAGTTTACAGCCCTGACGTGCTCACAGGAGCCTTAAGAGGTGAGGACACACTCGGAAAGACTCAGAAATGTCCGTCACTTGCCCAGGCAGCCCCCCCCCGCCCCCCGCCAGAACTCGGGGCGTCTGGTGCTGATGCACGTGCTCCGTCCAGCTTTCCAGCCGGAAAACATCGGCTTCTTCAACGGGTGAAGGCGTTCCTCAGTCGCACACATGAACATGGTTAGACATGCCCCGTGGACATGTGAAAACCTGCTTCAAACAGCCATGCTTCTCACGTGCCTAGTAGGGAGGCTTGCCATCCGCATTATTCAACTGCTCCGTGTGCTTTTTATTATTTTTCACTAGATCTGATTTCAAACCACCTGCCAGGCTTGCTGCCACAGCGACCAATGGCCTTGCATGTTACCGAGCTGGGTGAGTTTAGCTTTGTGAGTATTAAACCTGTTTTATAAATTGTGCCCGTGCCCTGGGGTCCCCTCTCTGCACTGCGAATTCCTAGCGGACACTCCGCCTTCTCGGAGGAGAACTCAGTCTGTTCGTAGTTAGCATCAGGCTTCTCCCGACGGGACTCCCCGGGGGCTCCCACCAGGATCTGCCGGTGGCCAGGGGCCCTTCTCTGAAGAACGGGGGGTGGGGGGGCAGGAGACACGTGTCCCCGAAGAGCCGGTAGTGGGCAGTGACTTCTCTACTCACTGCGGAGCTCAGAGCACCTGCAGGCTGGGGCTGTGAGGCAGGCTGGGCCTCGGGACATTGTAAGCAGCTTGGGGACAAGCAGGGTGGCCCCCTGTGACACGCCCCTCAGAGCAGGAATGAGGACCCGTGTGCCTCCCGATGACTCGGTCCCCTTCCTCCCAGCGACGGGA